AGGGTGCATGGCATGGGAGTTCCCCAGAGACAACTAGCACTAGCACAAGCTGTACCATGCTCCTTGTCCCCAGGGAAACAAATGTCCACGCTGGTGTGCATGCAGCCTAAGAGTCTATCTTAAAACTTTTGTTTTCAGCTTACACTGGAATGTTTCCAGAACACTGGGGCTAAAATCTCTAATCTTATAAAATGTTAATGATTATAGACAGCCAGTGCATTGAATTTGTGTGCGTATGTATGTCTGGACACAGTTACTCTGAAATAAGAATGCTCCTTTCCAATCTAGCTTTCTCTTCTTCCAGAACATCCCTAGATTATTCCGCAACAGTCACTCCAGTAAATTTCCCCAGGTAGACAAGCTTTTACATATCTTCCAAAAGACAATATATCTAGTGACGCAATATCCCCTCAAGGCATTTACTGCTGACAGAAATAATACTGCTTATTTAATGAATACCACCTTCTGAGGAAACGTGGGTTTTCCTTGACGGTCTCCAGTTCAAATAATGACCATGTCCGACCCTTAACTTGGCTATGATCTCACCAAATCTGACAAGTGGCATGACTACACAAGGACCATAAACTGTAGTTTATGCTGGAATGATACTTCCCCCCCTTGCTAGTTATTAATGGAAAAGTTTTGAGATTTGGTTCCTCAAGCCAAAGCACCAAGTACTGGCTTTACAGTTCTGAGTGTAGAGGGAGACTAGAGTAATTTTGTAAAAGACCATCTGTTAGGAAAACTGTAGTTTTGTTTCAGAACCAAGGGAAGATCTTTGTGATGACCATGTGCAATCAGATTATTTCTAACCTCTTCCAGGACTGATGGCTGTAAGGAGAGGCTTATGATCACTCATCTTCTCCTCCTTTTGTTTTTGAGAAACTAGTTCAAGTTCCTTCTTTTCCAGGAGTTTACTTGATGGGTAAAACAGGCCAATGGTCTGGGTTCCTTTGTCTTTTCTTTCTGATAAATCTAGTCTGGGTTTGGGCAATGCAACAGCCAGAGGTTGCCAGGCAGCTTGAGTCTGTAACCCTTTAACCTATAGGGAAAAATCGAAGTCCAGATGACAAGAAAGATAACAGTAAAAATGCATGGTTACATCACTTTGCAAAAAGAAAAACACACAAGAAGTAAAGAAACATCGTCTGTAAAAACAAATCTAGAAAATAAAAGCTATCAGAGAAGCAAACAGTATTCAGGAGGAATTGTGATAATTCCTGGTTACAATTAACACTTGGTAAAAATACTGATATCATTTATCACAAATGCTTAAAAAACACGCAACTTACTTCTTAATATAAACCAATTTATGTTCTGACACCATAAAAATATTGAAAGGCTGACCTTACTATGTATTATTATTGTCTCTAAAATCTTTTAAAATTAAACATGGCATATTTATTTATCAAAAATACCCTTAAATTAGACACATACATGAGTGATGATGTTACAACCACAAAAAAGTATTTAGAAAGCTCAGAATTTAAAAAGAAAGGGACTCAGCCTCATTTAATTATATGTAGTAATAATTAGAGCTGAGTAACTCTCTGCAGTTAACAGTTCTACCAATGAAGTTAACTTCTTTTTTCTGCTGAGAGAATGTCTGTCACAGACTCTACAAAGAAATCATGGTACTCTCAGGTGAAAGATGTGAATTTGTACCAGTCTGTACTTGCTGAGGACATGACCCAATATCTGTACAGGGATCAGAGCCTAGTATACAACACTGGCTTACCTGAGAAAATGTGCAGGAGTCTCCGGCGCCCAACAGCATGCCATTCTGAGAGCTTGGTTTTGATATAGGTTCAATATAAACACCACAAGATCCACAGAATCGAGCATATGGATGGTTGTTTGCACCGCACTTGAAGCAAGCAAAGTAGCAAGGAGGAGGACCTGGCTGGGGAGTACAGTAAAGCAGCTGTCACTATAGATAAGCATTCTATATATCACAAGGAAGATTCAACTTCTGTACTCTCAGAATTAAAACACTGATAAGACTGTCAGCTTGAATTCAGAGTAAGCAAAAAACCACAGGACTTACAACTTAGACTGGTGACCTTAGTTGTAGTTTCTGAACCCTATCTGACAACAGCAAAACAAAATCACCATCAACCTTCTCACTGCTATTGCATACAGAGGCAAGGCTTTTCAAACAGAACCAATGTGTAAGTAGGCTAGTTTTCAGGTCCGCCAATCTTAACTTATAAAATAGAATTTTAAAATGTTTTTCTCCTCTGACAAACTCTGTCTACTACTTCAAAGCACCTCAATTAATATTCAGTTCCACTCTGCCCCTCCCCTTGTCATAGTATAATTGTAGAGACCTGTGATGACAGATTGTCTATATCTAGAACAGAGTTTCTAATTTTACAGGACCTCAGATGACAGAAGATGATATGGTTTTGAACTTCCCTGCCCTGGTGGGAATGAATCTATCTCAGAAATACAGAAGTAGGTGACATGGGGACAATATTACATTGACTGTTCTATAGAAAAGCTCCTCTGGGCAGAGACCACAAAGAAAATATGGTTATTACTGAAGTCAGTGAGAGTTTGGGCATTAACATCAATGGGACTAGGATTTCACCTTGGGCCTTTACATTTTCTTTGTTCACTGCACACACATGGCTCTTTACACATGTTTAATAATAACGGAAAAATACATGTCCTAACCCACAAGATTCTTGGGAATGGAGCTATGGAACTGCTGCAGGTCATAGATGAGTAAAACCTGACTTGTCAACACAAATGCTTATTGCCAATTAAAACAGAAAGAGAAAAGAGTTTTCTACAAAAGCCCACACCTGGAAATGCATACCTTGGCTCCACACCAGTCACAGAAACGAGCATCACAGTGGTTAGCACGACCACACTTTGAGCAGGATACTGTTTTTCCCAACTGCATGGGTAAAGGAGGGGGTGTATCTCCATTGAACACAGGCTAGTAAAGCAAAATGAGAATTATGAAGAAAATACATACAGCCTGCTGCTAAAGAAAAGCGCATGTTAAGTAAGAGGAGGAGAAAAGCAAGCCAATTTGACAGCATGAAGCAATATTCAGCATAAAGGACTTTTTCCAGCTGTGACTCATCACTGGTTTTATTTTGATCTATGTACCATAATTTTCTCATTTAAAGTTCACAATAATGTGTTTTTAATTTAAATATTTTATATGTTTCTGAACTTTCCATTATTTGCCCTCTTTGAAATAAAACACCATTTATTTCCTTACAGACTTGTCCTATTTTAACTGACCACTTATCATCACGTTTCTGTATTTCCAGGTGAATTTAAAATGAAAAATCACATTCTCTATAACATATGACAAATGTACACTTTTAAGATCCAAAATCCAATCATTATTTTTCTGCTCTGTTTGCAAAGTTTGTGTGATTCTTTGAATGTGGAAACTGGTGGAGGAAAGTGGGTTAGCTCAAATATTTCCATTTTATTTGGATCTTTCATGTTCTGCTGCTGACTCTCATCAGGTGAGCTCTCCAATTAACCCTCCGATAATTAATTGGTATAAGAATGCTGTAGTTGAAGGAACCTTTTTCAGATAGGCCTTATGTTGTTTTACTATTATTTCTTTGGAAATCAGCACTATGGATGATAACTAAAGAAGTCCAAGTGTTCTGGTATTTGAAATTGAACACTACAACACTGTTTTAGTCTGCAGCCTGCAGCAATAGTGAGTTTTAATTCTAGGTAAAAGAGAAGTGAATATTTACCTTGTTTAGAACAATTCTAAAATAAGTCACGTGTTAAAACTACTTCATCATATTCATACAAAACTCTCAGCTTTTTCTTTCAGCCATCACAGACAGTCTGAACCCCTAATTCAACAAAAAACTTACCCACATGCTTAACTTTAAGTAGCTGAATAATACCATCCACGTTCAGCAGAGCATTTAAGCATGTTGCTTAACTCTGTGCATATCAGTAGTTCTAAATCAGCTGATTTTGAAGCAAGGCTATAATGGTTAGTAAAGAAAATGTCTAATTAATGTCCTGGCAGTTTTAACCATGGTCTAGCATTGTTGTCACTATGACCAATAGACAATGATGTCCAAATCACTACTGTCTTCTCCCATCTGATTATCTATCAGTACCTAAGAAAAATAACACTCACTCATTGGGCTTGTATGAGGTTTTTTTCTTAAGGTGTAGAAAATAAAAACCACTCCAACCAGCCAAATGAACACAGCTAAAGTATGAAGTGACAAAGACAGCAATTTTAGGGAGAACATTCACTGTGGCTTCTCTCACCTCTGCATAGAGTCACAGCCAAATACAAGCATAGCAGCTGTAAGTTGATGGGAAGAGCAGAAAGCAGAGATAACAGAAATAATTGAAAGGTTAATGCACATATAATTCTAAATTGTTGTGAATGGTGTTCCCTGCTGTTTAGATTTAAACTCTACTGCAATTATAAAGAAAATAATGCATGGGGATGGGAGCTGATATTCCACACAGAGTGCTGTTGGGTGCCAAGTAAGAATTCTACTTGGGAAGTAATCCCTTTCACCCAATAGTGCCTGAGCCCAGGCAGGGTCAGGATTTGACTCCAAGCATTGTTGTTACGTGCATGAAACCTTACCATCTGTGAGTCAGGCAGCTTGCTTTCACAGGTCACACAGTGCTTAATGTGAATAGGATTTCCTGTGCCACACACCCGACAAATTACCTTGCCCTTTAAAATACAGATTAAGAACACGTTTCACTGGATATATTTAAACTGTGAACCACAGTAAGGTTAAAAACAAGCTATCTACTCCATAAGGGCTCAATCCTGCTGACATATGTAAGTAAGCAGCTTAAGTCCTGCAAAAAGAAGAACCCTCTCAAATACGTGGCATAATGTTCCAGTAACATTTAAACTGTCAGCTCCACTTAAGTCATCTTGCCTGGCCATCATGCAGATCTTGAGTTGGTGGCAGTGTTGTTAAAGTAGTAGAACATATGATGCAGAAGCTCCTGTATCAGTGCTCCCCTGGAGCTGTTTACAAACTAATGAGCAATGACAGTTTGGTTAGTTGTGCATAATTTCTTACAAACAGGCTAGCATTTGCAAGGAAAATCAAAGGAAAACTGCCTCCAACTTTGAAGCATGCTGCCTGGAAGGATCTCATTGGCCAACCTTCATTACAACTAAGGACCTTCAGCTTCCACTTATGTTAGGAATCACAAGCATGACAAATTCTGTACTACAGCTTGTGTCCTCACTAGCCACCTTCAAGTGGTTTAGGTTTGTTCTTGTATCTACATTAAGGCTGCCCTAAGCCATTCAAAGAGTGGACAAGTAGCTGTGACAATGGTGACTTTTGACACCCAGAAGAAAACTACTCTCAAATAGTGAGCTTCCTTTGTTCACTGCCTGATAGTCCCCATTCCCACCATTCTCCTTTCAGCACCAACCTTTCAGTATCATGCCCTTCCTGGAAATGTCCCCTAGCCATGACCTCCTGGCATACAGTGCATCACTCCTGCTATCCCCACTACAATAACACCTCCTTGAACATGTCAAGCCAAATCCCACATCCAGTAACTGCACCACCTATACCTTCTCATGTAATAGTTCACAGTCAGATGAGGTAAACACAATAATGAGGACAGATTTACTGGAGCTAAGTGCTTATGAGTAAGGCATAAATGACTAGATAAATCAAACTAATCTACTTCATAATGAACAGAAGAACATGCACCCATAGCTTATTTGAATAGAAAATGCTGACATTTTGTGCTCTCATATAACATGTCCTGCCATGCTAATATGGTCTGTCTTTAATGACAGCTACTACTTTGTAAATGTGTTAAATCCTACTAACCCTTTAAGTAGTAGCAACATATTTATACAAACCCAAAAAAGATCAATATATTTTTAACAAAATCACCTATAAGAATCATACAGACTACTAGGTAAATTACTTCTTAGTTTCATCTAATCATATTTACCTTTAAGCAGATGCTGGCTTGGGGCTGCAACTGTGGAGCTATTGGAGCCTCACATACAATACAAGAGGGTGTGTTCATCGGCACCATCGTTCTGCATTCAATACATGGCCCCATCTGAATGAAAGATGACAGGATTGTATTGTTATGAAAATGATGATGAACAAGGCTTTCAAGCATTATTGTTAAGCAGAGCCTAAACCTATATCTGACTTTTAATACAAATATTTGCAGGCAACTTAAAATGTAATTCTTAATTCATGAGCCAGATGCTACTACTTCTACTGAAGTAAAGCAGCTTCACCCAATATTTTTAGGAAAATGAGATAAAAGATTTGATTCCTATAAAATTATTTATTTTGCTCCATGGAATCCTTTCCTCCTTCCTTCTTTGTGTCCTTGTGACAAGGTATAGCAGTATTTAGATTTGCTGGAATCTGACAGGGCTGCACCATGAGCATTTCTGCTCTGGCCATTTATGAATTATGTGATGTAGCTACAGAATAACTATAGCCATGATTATTGGGGTAATGTGATTGTACTTTGTTCCATGGAATTGAATAAGCATAATAAGGTTACCTCAATAAACATGGCTATAACAATTCTGTAGCTACATCACATAATTAATAGTCTCTAAAAGCTTCTATCTTCTCTTTACTACTTGTTCTTCTCCAAGCCTTGGTCAACTCTCCACTTATGTAACCTCCTGTTCTCTGTTCTTATGGTTTTTCACCCCAACCCCTGCAATCTATAGTTGACCTTCAGATGGATTTTGAGAACCAAGAAAGGTTTGAAGTGCCAGTCTCATCAAAATGAAATACTCACAAAATAAGAATACCCAAAATTTTAATAGCAAATTCAATAGCAAAATAAAGAAAAGATATAAATGGCTAAACAGTATAGATAAGGCATATCCAAAAAATTATTAAAGTGTCTAAAATGCATATTTTTGGCCTATCTTAATTATTTGAAAATAATTTAATCTTAACATTTCAAAGTCCTAAAGTCTTAAAAAACTTCTAACAGGGCCCAGCCCATTAAAGAAAAGGCCTTCTTACCTACGATTTTAAAAACTAAGTTGCTAAATGCCACTAGCCAGGTACACTTGCAACTGGGCGATTCAGCAAGATCTGTAGTTCAAGACCAAAAACAAAAAAATCCCGAAGTGGACCTGGTTTTTATACTCTATTGCTTGGCTAAAATATCAAAAAGCTTACTAAATAAGGTAA